TTTTTGTTCGGTACAGAGCTTTGCCGGAGAAACGCACCAGTCTAGATGCTGATCTTTCGGAAAATAAAGCCTTTTCCGAAAGATTCCTTATCCCTCTTGAAATAAGGGATAAGGGATCTTTTGGAAAAGGCTTTATTTTCCGGAAGATCAGCGTCTAGACTGGCGCTTTTCTCTGGCAAAGCTCCGTGCCGAAAAAAAGTGGCAGCCAATTTTATGCTAATGAAGCGCGGGAGATTTAAATCCCCGCTTCATTAGCAATTGCGATACGTCTAATTTACATCCCTTTTCCGAAAAAGGGATGTAGTCTAGACGTAGCCATGGAGATTTGCTTAACACTTGATAGTGGTAAGATTCTAAAACGTGCAAGTTCTGCTTGATCTAAAAGGGGTCCTGTCTGTTTAACTAGGCCCAAAAATGATGTTCCATGACATTTTATCAACATTCAAGACTAATATAAATGTTTGCATAATTTTAACAAAGTTGTTTTGAAACAAACATTCCCTGCAGTATATGAAGCCCAAACTCAGGAGCATTAAGAACCTGAATGAGAAACTGATGATTTGTATTTCTTGGCTTTGAAATGAAAATCAAACTATAAATAGTGACAGGTAAACTGGATTCTAAAAGTTGTTCACTTTGATTACTTTGAAAAGTAGTGGGTCTACTTCATGAATGTAATTACAGTATAAGGGCTCATATTTTCCTAATATGAATGGTCAAACATTGGTAACAGTGACGAACTAAGATTTTTTTTAATTGTAATAACTAAACTAATTCTAGATGGCTTCCTTGGCCCTTACAGTATGCTATGACCTAGCCTTCAACCCAAAAATGGAGACATAGGGCTGGGGAAGTATTTTTAAATAAAACTTTATAGTTAAAACCAGAGAAACCCTGACTGGGTTTAGTTCAACAGACAGTTTAAGCAAAATTATTCTGCTCATATTTAAATGATAAATAGGCAGAGGCATAGATTTAATTTAAAATATTAAAACAATAATATTTTTAGTGTCAGCCTAATTCATTCATTTTATTTAGGGCTGTCAATCAGAATTAACTTATGCAGTTAATTGAACACATTTATCATTGTAATCATACTGTTAATTGAATGTCAATTAAAATGTATTAAATATTTTGGATGCTTTTACATTTTAAAATGTATTGACTTCAGTTGCAACAAAATGTACAATGCTCACTTAATATAATTTTTATTATTAATATTTGCACTGTAAAAATGAAAGTAAGTATTTTTCAGTTCACTGTAGTTCAAGCTTTTTATCATGAAGTGCAACTTAAAATCTAGACTTTTTTGTTACATAATTGCACTGAAAAACAAAAGTGTAAAGCTTAATATTCAAGTCCACTCAGTCCTACTTCTTGTTCAGCCACTCACTGACAGACACGTTTGTTGCCATTTATAGGAGATAATGCTGACCGCTTCCTATATACAGTGTCACCTGAAAGTGAGAACAGGCATTCAAATGACACTTTTGTAGCCAACATTGCAACATGCTGGATATGTTTAACATTTATATGCCCCTTCACACTGCTACCACCAATCCGGAGGGCATGCTTCCATACCCATGAGGCTTGTTAAAATATATGTTAATTAAATTTGTGAATGAACTCCTGGGGGGAGAATTTTATGCCTCCTGTTCTGTTACTTGTATTCTGCCATATATTTCATGTTTTAGCACCTCACATGAAAATCCAACACGTGTTCATTTTAAGAACAGTTTCACTGTAGACTTGACAAAACACGGAAGTACCAGTGTGAAATTTCTAAAGATATTTAACCAATCGTTTAAGATTCTGAAGTGCTTTCCAAAATGTGAGAGGAATGAGGTGTGGCACATGTTTTCTGTTGTCTTAAGAGTTGTACTCCAGTGTAGAAACTATAGAACTTGAACCACCAGAAAGAAAATCAGTCTTCGTGCTGGTGGCATCTGAGTCAAATGATAAAATTGAGGATGCATTAGTCCACACTGTTTTGGATAGTTATTGAGCAGAACCTGTCATCAGCATGGATGCATGTCCTCTGGAATGATAGTTGAAGCATTAAAGAGGCATATGAATCTTTACCACATCTGACACGTAAATATTTTGGCTTGGTCATAGCTGGTGTCACATGTGCATACCTATTCTCACTTTCAGGTGACACTGTAAAAATGAAGCAGGCAGCATTCTCTTGTAAATGTAAACAAATTTGTGATTGAACAAATAACACCACTCAGTGAACTCTTGTAAACTCTAAAGTTTTACACTGCATTCAAAAATTAAGCAACTTTTTTGTACATAATTCTACATTTGTAAGTTCAGCTTTCAATATGAAGAGATTGCTCAGCAGTACTCATAATGAGGGGAATTGCAAAATACTATCTTCTGTTTTTATAGTGCATATAGTTGTAATAAAAACAATATAAGGTGAACACTGTACATTTGTAATTTAAATTTGTAATTTAAATCAATATATTTGAAAATGTTGAAAACATTGCAAAATATTAAAAAATCTTATTCTATTCAACATTGCAATTAATCACAATTAATTTTTAAGTGGCAGTCTTACTTTTAATATTTGTACTATAGTTTGTTTAGCAAATAGCATTCCTTTATGATAAAAAGTGTAACGTATTAATTGCCGCTATTCTTTTTAAAAAAGTTTTTTCATTATGTAACAAGTGAGGAAAACTGTGTTTCACAGGTTTCTTGCCCCCCATAACTCCACCAGAAAAATTTTTCCTTTCCCAACTGATGTTGGCTCCTCCTAGAGAACTCTTCAAAAAGACTCCTCGACAGATTGCCTTAATGGATATAGGAAACATGGCCCAGTCAGTGGATATAAGTGGACTTCAGCTAACATTAGCAGGTAAGAAATAAACTATTTTAGGTACATCCTGACAGCTTTTCCTTCTGATAATAGTGGAGGTGACAAGTTTTCCAAGTGTAAAGTGAGCTGAGCTATAATTCTAGGCTGTGGAAACTTTAAACACAGGATATTTTTAACTGCCATATGTTTGTCTTAAAAAGCAGATTTTATATATAGCATTTTCTTTGAGGCTGTGAAGACATTCTTCACAATATATGAAAAGGCTTTACTTCTGAAACATGTCTTTTGTTCAGGCAGTTTTTATGCTTAAATTTCATTCCATTGCATCTTGTGCAGTGTCTCCAATTTCAGAAACAAAGATTAATTTACTATTAGGCAGCTTTTACTTCTCTTTCTTCAGTTTATATCTTTTGGCAGCACCAGATATTAAAGTGAATTTTCAATAGGTTTTATAAATCTAAGATGATTCAGTTTTTTGTTGCTTCCTATGTATTTTCTCCATATTGGGAGGATGCCTAATTTGGCTGACTGTATCTCGGGAAAATGATGATTCTGGACCACTTAGCAGGCAAGAGAGGTTGTTTGTGAGTAACTCTTTTAGTAGTCACTTTTGGGGCTTCTGATTGAAATAGTGGGAAAGATGTATATAGTGAATGGAGGCCAATTTGCACACCAAAAATTCAAGCTTGATGTTATAAGGATGTAATAACCCATTCATTATGATTTACAGACTGATTTTTCTCATTGTTTGAGAAGTTATTTTTTAATAAGTAGCTGAAATAATTATACAAATAGTAGTGTGGTATTCAAACTATTGCCTGACTTTTCCTGCCTTATTCCTGTGTGTGTGTGTGTGTGTCTGAATCTTTTTGAGCATTTTTGTAAAATCTGTACTCTTTGACTTAAACTTTCAAAAATGACTTGACGCTTTGGGTGCCCAAATTACAGTGTGTTGGAGGTGTCTGATTTTTCACAAGAACTATGTAACTGACCAGCAAAAATCAGGTCTCTTTTAAAAGGTATTCAATTAAGAAACCAAGATGAATCAACTTGACTTTTTTTTGTTTTGTTTTGTTTTTTTTGCTGGAGGTTCCATATATTTTGGTATGACCTGCGTGATGGGGAGTCTGCTCTACACTGGCCCTTTAGCGTTAAAACCCAACCATGGGAAGAGGACTGGAATGCTGGAGGTGTGGAGCCAGCAGCTGGAGGTGGTAGAAGCCCAGTTGAGGGCAGTATAATTACAGGCTCTTGGAGGGGAGGACTCAGAGCAGCAGGGACCTAGCTGCTAGGGAAGCTAGAGGCATCCTGATTTAGAGCAAGGCTGGGAAAACTCTGGCCAGGCAAACTCCCAGGCTGTAGGGCCTGAAGCAAGGCCTCAGGGTACTAGAGCTGCAGGGAGCAGCCAGGATAAGCAAAAGCAGCGGGTCCACATCCCTTTGCCAATGATAAGTGGCCATTTCAGACTGCAGTTTGCCCTTGTCGCAGGGACTAGATCAGCGTTTCCCAAACTGGTCCGCGGCCCAGTACTGGTCCTTAGGGAAAAAATACTGGGCCTCAGAAAATGTTTTGTGAGAGCGCACTGTGCTGCCCGCAGCCCCCAAGATGAATGTCACGCTGAACTCCCAGTATCAACGGAGGTAGCACAGGTTTCCTGTGGGGTCGGGAGGGGGGGCAGTTCTGCAGCTGCGCGCCAGGTCCCAGAAGTGTGTGGGCTGCCCTGCCCCATCAGCCGGCGCAGTACCTAAAATGCCGGTCCATCATGCGCTGTGGACTTTGTTCCCCTGCTGTCTTCCTGCACGCAGGGGAGTGGGTGGGGATCTGAGACTGCGTGGCTCCAGCTGCTCGGGCAGCGCATGCTGCCGTGGGGAGCGGAGGAGCAAGGTGTGCACTGCCCGAGCAGTTGGGGCTTGCACAGTCCAGGACTCCCCCTCCCCCTGCGCAAGAAGGCATCATGCAACAGACCAGCGTTTCAGTTACTGTGCCACTGTTTGGGGAACAGAGGAGCAGCCCACACACTTCCTGGGCCTTGGCGTGCAATTGCAGGATCCCTAGGTATCAGTCCCTGTCCCCTCCCCTCTCACCCAGACCCCCACAAGCCGAGCCCCACCCCCCCCCCCCCCCCCCCCCAGACCCCCACAAGTCCCCTGCCCCAGCACCCACAAGCACCCTGTCCCTTGCTCCAGCACCCACAAGCACCCTGTCCCTTGTCCCAGCACCTGCAAGCACCCTGTCCTCTACCCCAGCACTTATTGGCACCCTTCCCCAGAACTCTGTCCTAGAACCCACAAGCACCGTTGGGGTCACATTAGTGAAGTTTGAGGGGCTGTGTTTTTATATCTCACTGTGTGGCCCCGAATGACTTTTCTGTGGGCTAAAGTTGGCACTGGGGGCTTTAGGAGGACCAGAAACAATTTATTTACATATTCATCATTTGCTTAATGAATATGCAAATAAATGTTACTGGTCCTCCAAAAGCTCGTGAATGGATTTACTGATCCCCAGTATGAAAAAGTTTGGGAACCTCTGGGCTAGATGACGACTGGCAGTGGGTCACTGAGGCAAGGGTGGGCATAGGGGGATTGAGGATCCCCGGAGGGGGGAAGATTCCTGAGTGTGGGAGCACTATGGTAGGGCAGTACCCTGGTAGGAAGGCATCACAGTCTGGGAGAGACATGGGTCCTGACCTAGAGTGATGGAGAGTAACAGTGAGTGAGACACAGAAAAATTGCTAATTCCCTGAGCTACCGGCAGGAGGCACCATGGTGGTGAGCTCCGCCCTGTTACACCTGTCTCCAAAATACAAAGTGAGTAGTATTTTTGAAGATGGAACAAATTCATTGACATTGGTTACTTTTAAATATAAGTAGCTGAATGTCCAATGCTTATTCTTTATGCAGTGGATACTACAAAATTATATAGTAAATCACATACATAACTAATTTGACTACAAAGAGACCTTAGGCTATCTCTGATCTGACATTTTCATAAGGGAGACAAGCTAGATTAGGATATCTTTTACAGGACCATCTTCTTTTGGTGAGACACAAAATTTGTTTCTTGGAATAAATTCCTGCCATTTGTCTGTGCCTCATCTGATGACAGCTCCTCTGGCTGTAGTTTTGGTACCTAGGAATTCTCTTTTTTTTGGACTGGCTTCTCCATTTACAGAATTACTTATTTCAAGTCCATATTTCTCCCAGTAAGCCAACAGGTAGAAAAGAAGTGAATTGTGTAGTCCATAAAATATAAAAAGAGTTAAACAAAAATGCTTAAGCTTAAAAACTATTGAGATCTTCATCCTTCCTTTCCTTGCTGATCTTGTCATGTAAGAATTGTATATCTTGGTGGCTTCTGTAAAAGTGTTCTCCTATTCAGAATATCCCTGGATTCATTTTAGGGACAAGTTTGGACCTTGTTCTAGAATGTCACAAAGAATTACTGGTATTCAGAAATGTAAAGCATTTTATCAGGATAACTACAGGCAGTCCCCAACTTACGCGGATCCGACTTATGTCGGATCCGCACTTACGAACAGGGCTTTTCTTGCCCCGAAGCTCACGGGCGGCGGGTCGCCACCCGTGTCCTCCGGGGCGAGAAAAGCTTCTCCCTGGTCTGCTGGGGGGGTCCAGAAAAGCTGCTGGACCCCCCCAGCAGACCAGGGACACCTGAGCAAAGCCGCCCAGGCGGCGGGACTCCCGCTGCCTGGGTGGCTTTGCTCCTGTACCCCTGGTCTGCTGGGGGGGGTCTAGCAAAGCCGCTGGACCCCCCCCAGCAGACCAGGGACACCCTAGCAAAGCCGCAATAACAATAGAAACACTTTAATCTAAGTACCTTCTCTTACCACTGACTGCTGCACAACATTTTTGGAGGATCCATGTGTTAAAATCTTGAGAGCAAATTGCTGTCCTGAAATCTCTCTGGCTACAGCTGTTCTTGTGCTATAACTTGCAGAGCGTCTACACTGCACGAGCATTCTTGCGCAAGTAAATTTACAGTAAAGCATCGGAAAACAGGGCTTTTTGTGCAAGAGTTATTCCTCTTCCCACGAGGAATAATCCCTCTTGTGCAAGAGCTCTTCCACAAGTAGGCAGTGTAGACAGGCAACAAGGGTTTCTTGCACAAGAAAGCCCTATGGCTAAAATGTCTATCAGAGCTTTCTTGCGCAAGAGAGCGTCTACACTGCCATTGATACACAAGAACTCTTGCGCAAAACAGTTCCTCCACAAGAAGCCTGCAGTGTAGACGTAGCCCCAAAGTATATTACTGCTCCAGACTGGGCAGCCAGACTCCCATTATCAAGACTCAAACTAGTGTGCAAAAAATAATAGGGTCCATGTTATGGCTTGTATTCTGAAGTCCACCCAACCCACTAGTCTTGAGGTACTAAGCTACCGCCAGAGCTACTGTACCCATGCTGCTCTTTTTAGTACACTATCTTGAGTCCCTTTTGTGTGAATCCAGATTCAGCCGCTGTTGAAACTGATCAGTTTCAGCAGCGGCTGACGCCAGTTCCGACTTACATACAGATTCAACTTAAGAACAAACCTACAGTCCCTATCTTGTACGTAACCCGGGGACTGCCTGTATACTGAACTTAAATTACATATTGGAAACACAACTGATAGATCCTGTTATACAGGGATAGGCAATAATTTTCGACAGGGAGCCACTCCAAGATTTTGGAAAGTGGTCGAGGGCCACACTCTTCCATGATATTAATGGAGGTGCAGGGTCTGGGATGGAGGTTGGGTGTAGAAGGGAGGTTGGGGTAAAGGATTGGGGTACAGGAGGGAGAGTGGGGTCTGTGAGGGAGTTTGGGAAGGTAGTTGTGACCTAGGATAGGGTACTGGGGGGTAGGGTTTGGGAATGTGACCGAGGGCAGGAGGGGGTTGTGACCTAGGGCAGAAAACTAGGGTACAGGGGTTTGGTTTGTGACCTAGGGGAGGGGACTGGGGTGCAGAAGTTTGGGTTGTGGCCTAGGGTAGAGGGGGATTGTGATCTGGGGCAGGGGATTAGGGTGCCAGATGTGGGAGGGG